CTGTGTTACTTTCCATTTAGTGAATGAGTTCTGTTTCATTTATGAAGCATGTTTATGCCGCGCCTATTGGATTTGTTTTAGCAGTGCCAGAGTCACAAATGAGCGAAACTGTCGCTTTAAAATCTGATTATTTCTTATTTTCTTCTTGACTTAATTGTAAGTTTTGTTTGAAAGGGAACCTGCGCAGCTCGCAAATCAATTCTCACAGTTTTTTCTTTTTCTGTGAAACCCTAATAAGTTAATTCTACAGTGATGTTGCGGGGACCATGAAATGTCACACACAGAAGCTGCTGTTTTTAGAAATGTGTAAGGTGGGCTTTTAATGGTTTGTTTTTGGAATTAATCCTCCAAGAGAGAAGACTCTACAGGAGTCTTCTCTCCTGTAGAGTCTTCTCTTTTCTCCCCTCACTGCTGTCTAAATTATTTCTTCTATTGTCTCTCAGGGAGAAGATGCCGTTCCACCATGTAACGGCAGGCCTGCTCTACAAGGGGAACTACCTGAGCCGCTCGCTGTCTGACAGTGACAGCGATGTGTTGGCCAGCATCTCTGTTGAGGAGCTCGACGGTAGGACTCTTCTGTAAACTAGCTACTGTCCTCCCTTCCTTATCCTTAATGATTTATTCAAAGTGAATTGTCTGCTTACAATCTTCCTACCTCCATAGTAATTGGCAACATCTTGCAGCTAATATATTAATATTCATTACTGCTATATGTTGTTACTCAAACCTGAGAAGAAAATCCTCCATAAAGGATCTTCTATTAAAAAATAAATTTAAAAAATGATGTGTTTTGTGTCTTCAGCAAAAGCAAAGCCAGGTTTAGGCTTTTATTCACCAACTGTTAACTTATTTATGCAACAAACACAAGTCCAGGCCTTGAGTTAAAAAAACAAACCACACTTTTTAGACTTAAATAGCGTGACCTGGAAATATTGCTGCAGTGCATACAAATGATTATAAATCCACTGTGGCTTCATGTTTAGTTACACTTCATGCCAGCTTAAGAAGGGTGTAGGAACAGAGTTAACCCTCTCCAGGCAGACGTTGCAGATTTGCAACAGTTAAAAACTAACAACCTGATTACCCCACATACATATTTTACGAGGTTTTTTTACTCAGAAGTACCACTGCAGGACATGGTTGTGCATTAGCAACAAAAAACTTAATTTGGGCCTGAGAGGGTTAAAGGAAAAAGTTACAAAAAGGTCAGAGAACAATTAGCCTGTAATTGAAATCCAACAAAGGTATTGAACATTTAAATAATATTTGACTGTGTGTAAAGGGAAAAAATTATGTGTAAAATAAAAAAACAAGTATTTTGGACGATAAGCCTGTCCACACTGTAGACTCTAAACCTATGTGGATTTCTTTTTTTCCCCAAAAGAGTCTGTTCTGTTCATTTTAATGCCAGAAACGCTTTGAGAGACAATGCGGCGCTACAACACGAGCAGCATCTGCCTCACCGAGTCAACCAGCCACAGAAATGCAGTATTCTCTACATAGCTTATCTTACCAGGAGCATTTGTGGTCTGCTGGCCTCTCTCTGTCTCAGACGCTGTGTTTATGAACCCTTTGTTTTGCAGTACGTCTGAGAGTAATCACCCGGGCCCGTACAACACAAACCTGATCAATAATGCTCTGCTGGAGTCAGCAATAGCAACCTCACAGGTAGCAAACAAGCTAGACTTTCCAAGACCTTGAAAATATTAATCTTTTGATGCAACATTAAGCTGCTGCCTGGAAAATTGGCATTGCAAGGCATGGTAATGGCCAGATACTCTGTCAGGGTGGAGTTTTAATATGCACGAAGGGATTTGCTGTGTGTGAATTCCTCATTCCTGTTTCAATGGGTTCACGCTGTTTAGTGAATACGAAATGATCTGTGGTTATAGGGTCCTGATGAGGTCCATTTAAAAACGCTATGACTGAGTCACTGTAGCCTGCCAGCACTGTAATTACTGCATAAGTATTTACCCTGAATTATATGCTGGATGGTATTACAGCGGGTTTGCAGACAGGTCACTAGTTTGAATAGTGAAAGTCAGTAGAACCAGGTGTGACTCACTCAGGCCCTCAGAACTGATATTATTAACAAAATGTGTCTCAGTCGTGCAGGTTACTTTTCCCAATGTCCAATATGTCATTTAGAAATTAAAGAAGAAACAAGAAGCTTTTCTGGGGAATTACATGTCGGAATAAAACCACGACTTGTGGTGAGGGGAGCAACTGTGTGCTTGGCTGTCTGCAGGTGCAGTGTGAAGTTTTGTGCCAACTAGAGGAGATGAAGAGGGGACTGTCGGTGATGATCCTAATTTTTAGTATTGATTAGTTTTTTTTTTAAACCATTTCTTTTAAACAACTATGGTGTTGTAAGGTAGAGTTCCAGAAGTTGTACATCTTACAATATTCCAGAATATTAGCCTGCTTTCATGTGTATTTGGGATCTTTGTCCTGTTGGAACATCCGGTTGTGTCCAAGTTTTAGCCTTCCAGATGTTGATTTGAGGTGAAGTTGAGGAATTTGGAGGTAGTTCTCCTTCCTCAGTATTCCATCCACCTGTACCAGTACCACTTGCAACAAAACAGCCCCAGTGCATGCTGTTACCACCACCAAGCTCGACAGTTGATACAGAGTTTGAAAGCCTCACATTTTTTTCATGCAAGCACATCTTTTTTTCATTGAGGCCAATCCTTATATTGTCTGACCATAAAACTTTTCTCCAGAAGCCATTTGGCTTTGTCCAAGTGGGCAGCTACAAATTTCAGTCAAGTTTGAAAGTGTTGATTTTGGAGCAGGAGCTTCTTTTTTAAGCCGCACCCTCTTAGCGCACGGGGATATAAAACTCAATTTATTGTGGACAGTGCTGCTAGTGATCCAGCAGTTTCCTGGTCCCTGAACATCTCAGGCAATTTCCTCTCGTCTGAGGGTGACCGTTTCAGTGTTCATCCAGACTTTGGTAAAATGGTGTCCAAATAACTTTGAACTTTGAATCTACAGTTGTTTAAAATTGACTCCAAGAGACTTTTCTATCTTGTGTTAATCTACAGTTTTCAATCATTAGAAGCTCTTTAGATCATCACTGTCTTCACTGACTCTGACTTCCCCATTGTTATGAGTATCGTTTAATCCAGTGAGTGCTGTCTAACAAATCCTTCTTATCCTGACAAAGACAAACTGCCAGCTTTATTCAATAGTGATCACTAATAGGTTAATAGGCCTTGGCCTTGTAAAGTTAAACAACATTATAGAATCTTCAGCACTACTTATTAAAAAACATTATTTGAGGCTGTATGTTCATCCAAAATAAATTCAAATGTGTGCACCCAAATCTTTTGTTTTTTAGAGTCATTAAAGATGTTTGTGGGGCAATCATTCCACCCTGGAAAAATAACAAACTTGTAAACTTTTAACCCCTGTAGCCCGTCAGTTTCAGTCCCCTGATACAGATTACTCAGCCTCTGCGTTCTGCACATGTAACACTTCTGCTTCACAATATTTACTGTTTGTCCAGGGGTATTAAAAGCCTTGCAGCTGCAGGCTGAGCTCTCATATGACTGGTAGTGTGGAATCATTCAGCTGTTGAATTTGTTGTTTAGTTTGTTAATGTTTTATCTCTCAGGAGGAGCTGCTGCTGCCAGCAGGGATTACTGAAGATAACAGCAGGCTCTTAAGTGTTTCTTACAGTAGGTACACCGCTGTAAGATTTAAAATATGTCAGTCATTAAGAGACTGCTGGCAGTTGTTCACCAGAAGCTGCACTGGAAGAAGGGCAACTTTAATATGTGAGGTTCACGTAAAAAGGATGATCCTGACCAGTGTTTTCACTCCATGTTACAGCATCAAAGAGGGTTCACGTTTCCGTGTATTTTCTTAAAACTAGAATGGGGAAAATCTCTTGTAAGATTTAGGATTTATAACTAATTCTCCTAAACACACTCGATAAGCTGTCCTCTGATCATCTGAACGTAAAATATTGTTCATGCCATTCCACACAAGCCTTTTTGCAGCGTTGCCCTTGCTCTGTGACCTGAGTGTAATCTTACGAAGCTCTAAAAGCCATTTGTAACCTCTTTGCACCTCATTGGTTTCTTTAAAAGTGGACAGTTTTTGCCTTATTCGTTACATAAATTGAATTATGGTGTAAGGAAGGCCCAGAAAAGAGCTTTTTGCAGAATAATAAACCAAGTACAAGCACAAACAACAAAACTTCAAGACTTTTCCTGCCCTGTGTGCTCTCTGGCCCATCCTGAATCTATCAGGGAAAACCATGTTAATCTGTGGCGTTAGATCCTGAAAGAACAAACTGAGCATTTATTACAAAGATGTTATTATTACATAACTCACAGTAATATTGGGGCTGTGAAGTTTCACAAAATTGATCATAATCTCATAATATTTGAAAACTGCTACTTACAGAAGATCAAATGATTAACTGTATGCTTTGACCTTATGTGATCTCTTGCTGTTGCTGAGTGAGGTTAGTACTCCAGGGTGAGAGTTGCATGAGGTCATTGACCTTTGGTTGCATGTGTGAATTTACAGAAACTCCTAGAGAGTCTTCATCTTTCAAGTTTTATGCAAATCAGATGACTTCATCTGTCACCACAGGGCAGCTTGAGAGAATTTAAAGTAGTTCAAAAGTTTGAATTTCGAGACACATAATGAATTTTTAAATCTGAAAACTAAATTTATTGAACTATTTTCACCACACAGCTGACATTTCATTCAGTGTAATTCTGAAGCTGCACTGGGACAGTTCTAGTGTAACAGCCCGGATGACAGACACCATAATATCCAGTAGCATCGAAACACTCCACCACAAATTCAGATGAATATGCATCCACAGAGGCAGACCTGGGAGAGTTCAGTTTTATCTAAAGGTTTTAGGAGGGTGGTGCAAGAAATTCTTCCTGGCTCTTCTTTCACAAAGCACGCTGAGTTAGAGCAGATGGCAGGAAGTCTACGGGTAATTTAGAGTTCCTTCAGCCAACCTGAAGAGAGCCTCAAAGAGACCCACAACAAACATTTCCAACTCCAGTGGGATAAAAGAAGCTGTTCCCACTTCTGTTTTCTACGAGCACCAGGACAGTTACCAATAGGGAAGAAACTGGTTGTGCAATTAGCGCGGAGAGTACCTGATGTATAGTTCTTGCATCCTGCAACAAACACAAAGAATCACACATACAGTCACACAGTTAAACAACTCATCTGAGGAGGAGCTTGGGGAACTGTCCATGGTGCTGCCTGTGTTTTCCTTTACCTCAGTCACACTGGATACCACAGTACAGGATCCAATACTTAGTCATTAACACAGCACCAAACTCTAATAATAATAAGAATTATTATTATTATTATTATTATTATTATTATTATTATTATTATTATTTAAAAACGGTTAAAATTATAATTTAAAGTCAGACAGCCTCTGAAAAATGTCTTCAGACATTTATCTAACAATGTAATGTTCATTCATTGTGTCTGTATCAATCAGTTATTTTATTCTCTCTGAAAATTGAAGTCAAACTGCACTTTAGGTATTATAAATATACCACTGAATTTTTTAATAATGTTCTTTAAATAATCCCACAATCCAAATCAGGCCTTCTGAGATTTCAGAAGCAAAAAACATAATAAAAATTAGTGAAAAAAATGAAGGTACAAATGAATAAAATCTGTTTTCTATGTAACACAAATATACAACAATTTGTTAACATTAAAAATACATTTAAGCCAAAACATTAAAACAAATACCATTTTAAAAATACCCATGTAATACTGTGTTGGGGGTATGAATATAAGACCTCTCTCTAACACAGGGAGACAGGCATCTGCTCACACACACACACACTTACAACTAATTAGAATCATAAATCAATCATTTATGCATGAGGTACACTGCAGGCAAACTAATATGTTTGCCTTTGATGTGATGGGTTGTTAGCATTTGTGCGTCTGTGTCCTGGGACACATTATTTCCAGAAAAGTGTCTCGTGTTCTTGCAAACGATGATGATGTTTTACGTGCTCAGGACCAGCTGGTTGGGGAAGCAGTAGCGTGCCATTTAGAAAAAGGTCAACAGGGACGAAGTCCTCTTATTTATCTACAGTTGGCACTTAGCGCAGTCAAAACACTCTTCTTTACTTAATGGCACAATTCATTATTTACACACCATTTATCCTTTATTATTCCCAATCATTTGCGAGAAGATCGGTCCAGAAGGACAGCTGTGTAACTGATAATTAGATGACTGGTGGACTTGCTTTTTAATGACTGTTTTTTTTGGTTCTGGGTGCTAATTTCAGGCATAAAATGCTTTTAGTGTGTTGCTTTGCAAAGCAGTTAATTGCAACACAATGTCATTTATTTAAGACTTTTTTTTCTTTCTCATTTGTCATTAAAATATTTGCTATCATCCATCCATTTTTTTGATTACTTTTATGCACTTGTGAGAATATTACAAAAAACAAACACTAGCTACCATCAAATATACGTTTTGTATGCAGGGATTTGATTCTGAGTCTTGGATGTGATGTAAACTGATTGTGACTGTTTTTTATTGTTGTTGTTGTTGTTGCTTCCATAGTGATTTGGTAAATGTCCTCTGCTTGGACCCCAAAGCGCTTTACACGTTCAGTCATCCACCCATTCACACACACATTCACACACTGGTGATGGCAAGATACATTGTAACCACAGCCACCCTGGGGCGCACTGACAGAGGCGAGGCTGCCGGACACTGGCGCCACCGGGCCCTCTGACCACCACCAGTAGGCAATGGGTGAAGTGTCT